TGAAACCTCTTAATCACGACTATCAACGTAGGGAAGGGAAAGCGGGGGGCCTCTCCGCCTTTTTTGAGGCCCCCACCCCTCCTCCTCCTCCTCCTCCTCCTCCTCCAATGCTGTGTCACACTCCTGCAGAATTCACTTTGAAGATGCCCATTTATTTTACTTGTTTAAAAAAGCGTTTGGGAATATATTCCTGAAGTTTGTTGGTCTTTAGTCTAATTTCTTTTCTCGGGAGGGAGGGCTAGGATCGCTGATCATTATTGTAAATCCCATCTTTGTTGGGTTCATTTTCGTGCTCAGGAGTTCTTTCGGAATCGTCTGCTCAGGCAAGTTGAGTAAGAATTAGGACTACCCGGGTGTACGATGACGATGGGCACAACATTAGGGTCTTGGATAGGCACATTAGGTGGCGATGTAGAATAATCAAGCAACTTTCTACTTTTCCTGCAAGATTCTCATGACTGAAATGTCGATGTACTGGGACGAAGGCAAACGTCCCATCCCTAGTTTTGGTGTTGGAGCTATAACCAACTGAGATGCCTAGGACTTTCCACCGACTGTTAGTATACTTTCACACTTCAGTACAAGCGAAAGGATGAGCCCCGGGAAGTAGTTGAAAGGACGGAGCCTTGGTAGTTGAAAAAAATAGTTGTATTGTCTTGCCAGCCCGGAACTCCCCTATTGCTAGTGTAGCTCAGAATCGATTAAGCTCCTCTTACGTGTCCTGCTGTCTGTTAAAATATTCGATGTGAACTCAGGACGTCGGCGGTTTCGCGTACTGGGCGAATTCCATATTTATAGAGTCTGCATCGGATGGTGAAAAACATATTACAACTCGAGCGGGGCAGCAAGTGAATTGGGTATGACTAGCTGACGACGGCTAATAAGCCAGAAATGGCCGCCCTAGTCTCTCTTATCTTTATCGGTAATGGTCTTCTGCCTATATCATTATCCGCCTTGTGGTGAGGGCTCGAGTGTAAGTATCGCAGGGGGTTAAGTAAGCCTAACCGTGCAACTGCGATCTTCAGACCAT